ATGCTTTGCTATTTGTCTTGCTCTTCCTGTTTCCGATGCTGCTGTCTGGAGCTTGGTTTCCCAAAACTTTGCCCTGTGATGTTAAATCTTCAGAAGGTACTGTGACAGTGGACTGCACCTACCGGCGTCTCACACAAGTCCCCAGAGGGATCCCTGAAAACGCCACCAACCTCACCCTGAGTATTAACCATATTCCCCATATCTATCCAACATCCTTTGCTCAACTGAAAAACCTCATGGAGATTGACTTCAGATGCAACTGTGTGCCTGTCAGACTGGGGCCCAAAGATCTTGTCTGCAACAGAAGACTGGAGATTGAGAATGGCAGTTTTGCTGCCCTGACAAGACTCAAGTCACTGTACTTGGATGCAAACCAGTTGTTGGAAATACCCCGAGGTCTTCCTACTACCTTAACCCTGTTGAGCCTGGAAGCAAATACTATCTTTTCTATCCAAAAAGTCAACTTGTCAGAGCTAGGAAACATAGAGGTATTGTATCTGGGACAGAACTGTTACTACCGCAATCCATGCAATGTTTCATTTGAAATTGAGGAAACAGCCTTTCTGGAGCTGAAAAAATTAACAATACTATCGCTGAAGTCCAACAACTTAACACACATTCCACCCAATTTGTCATCTACTTTGAAGGAACTGTATATTTACAATAACAGGATTCAAGTGATTCAAGAACAGGATTTAAGTGCCCTTCCCAACTTAGAAATTCTCGATCTGAGTGGCAACTGCCCACGTTGCTATGATGCCCCATATCCTTGCATTCCCTGCACCAGTGGCTCAATTCAGATACATTCAAAGGCTTTTGATTCCTTGAAAAATTTAAGAATTTTGCGACTTCACAGTAACTCTCTTCAGAGCATACCCAGCAGTTGGTTTAAAAACATCAAGAACCTCAAAGAACTTGACCTCTCCCAAAATTTCCTCATGAAGGAGATTGGAGACGCTCAGTTTTTGAAGTTTGTCCCCAGCCTGGTGGAGCTTGATCTGTCCTTTAATTTTGAACTCAAGTTGTATTCACCCTTCTTGAAACTGTCTGAGACATTTTCTTCCCTCTCTAATCTGGAAACCTTGAGGCTTAAGGGTTATGTCTTTAAAGAACTGAGAAAGGAGGATCTACGCCCACTGCTCAGTCTTAGGAATCTCACCGTCTTGGATCTTGGGACTAATTTTATTAAAGTTGCAAACCTGACAGTGTTCGAAGAATTCCCAGCTCTTAAGTTCATAGACCTCTCAGTGAATAAAATTTCTCCTTCTTCAGGGGAAAGCAACTCCAATGGATTCTGCTCTAATCCTAGGTTTTCAGTAGAGCAGAACATCGGGCAAGCATTACCAGACATGCATTATTTCAGGTATGATGTGTATGAGCGAAGTTGCCGTTCCAAAGATAAAGAGGCTGCTTCCTACCAATCTTCAGTTAAGGAAGAATGCCTGCAATACGGAAAAACTCTGGATTTGAGCAGAAATAATGTATTTTTTATTAACCCCTCAGACTTCCAGGGACTTAGCTCCCTTACGTGTCTCAATTTGTCAGATAATGCAATAAGTCAAACTTTAAATGGAAGTGAATTCTCCTACTTGTCTGGATTGAAATATCTGGATTTTTCTAACAACAGGGTCGATTTGCTATACCAAACTGCTTTCAAAGAGCTAGAACACTTAGAAATTCTTGACCTGAGCAATAATCAACATTATTTTCTGGCAGAAGGTGTTACTCATGTGCTTAATTTTGTGAAAAACCTAGACCATTTGAGAAAGCTGATGATGAATGATAATGACATTTCTACCACCATTAACACAGGAATGGAAAGTCAATCTCTTCAAATTTTAGAATTTAGAGGAAATCGTTTAGATGTTTTATGGATGGATGGCAATGCTAGATACTTATCCTTCTTCAAGAATCTGACCAGCCTGGAAGACCTGGATATATCCTTCAACTCGCTCAGTTTTTTGCCTCCCACTGTTTTTGAAGCAATGCCTCCCAAACTCAAGCTCCTCAACTTAACCAATAATCGACTAAAGAGTTTCAACTGGGAAAACCTCCACTATCTGAAGAAACTAGTAACTCTGGACCTGAGCAATAACCTTCTGACCACTGTTCCCCGAGAACTGTCCAATTGCTCCTCATCACTGCAAGAACTGATGCTCCGAAACAATCATATTCAGCAGCTAACCAAACATTTTCTCAGAGGTGCTTTTAAACTGAGGTATTTGGACCTCAGCTCAAACAAGATTGAAGTAATTAAGAAATCTAGCTTCCCTGAAAATGTCATCAACAACCTGAAGATGCTGCTTTTGCATGGCAACCCTTTCAAGTGCAACTGCGAGGCCGTGTGGTTTGTCTGGTGGATCAATCAGACTCAGGTGACTATTCCTCTTCTGGCCTCAGACGTGACCTGTGCTGGCCCAGGGGCACATAAGGGAAGGAGCGTGGTTTTCTTGGATCTGTATACCTGTGAGCTGGACACCTCATATTTGATCCTGTACGCTCTATCAGCTTCAACCGTCCTCAGCTTTATGGTGCTTGCAGTGATGAGCCATCTGTACTTCTGGGATGTGTGGTATAGTTACCATTACTGCACTGCCAAGCTGAAGGGCTATCGGCGTTTATCTTTACCAGATGCCTGTTACGATGCTTTTATTGCCTATGACAACGAAGATCCAGCTGTGAATGACTGGGTGATGGAAGAACTGATTAGAAGGCTGGAAGATCAAAAAGCCAGGCAGTTCAACTTATGCCTGGAAGCAAGGGACTGGCTCCCAGGACAGCCAGTCTTTGACAACCTTTCCCAGAGCATTCAGCTAAGCAAAAAGACTGTCTTTGTGCTGACCAATAAGTATATTAAAAGTGGCAGTTTCAGGACAACCTTTTACATGGCCCACCAGCGGCTTCTAGATGAAAAACTGGATGTCATTATCTTGATATTTCTTGAGAAGGTTTTGCAGAAGTCGCGCTATGTCCGTCTGAGGAAGAGGCTGTGCCGAAATTCTGTCCTGGAATGGCCAACTAACCCTCAATCTCAGCCCTTCTTCTGGCAGTGCCTGAAAAATGCCATAGCTACAAACAATTTGCTGGCTTACAACAAGCTTCTCCAAGAAACTGTTTAGCTCTCCCTTTATATATAGTTATGATGCAGAGTTATCAAAAGATCCTCAACTTCATTTGCCAAAATTGTTGAATCATAGAAGATAAATCTAATTTTGTTATTAAGCCCCAAAATAGAATGCATATTCAATTCCAAAGCTGAAAATTCACTTGTTGTGCTATGACAAGTTTGAAGAGAAACTGTTACCAGAGCAGATGTTTAGCTGACATGTGCCTTGGTTGGCACTGACTGCTGCACAGGAAGAGGAGATGCCAAAATGGGAAGGTGTGAGGCAAAGTTCAGAAGGTCTTGCAGTCTTCTGCGTGAAAACAACGAGGGGGAGGAGAACAGCAGAGAGGCAGAGGGACAGGCACAAGGCAGATAGGGAAACTCAAGTAAATCAAGGTGGAAGTGAGAAGAAACAAGGAAAGGAAGGTAAAAAGATAAAAGAGAAAGTGGAAAAGGTGGGGGAAAACGCAGCTAAAGTAGGGCATGCTAGAAGTTAAAGAATATGTACTGCTAATTTGCAAGTCACCTTTTCACTTTGCCTTTCACCTGCCTCTTGCGCTGTTGGCTGAGCTGATTCCTTCCTGAAGACTCAGGGCTCCTCTCCAGTGTTGTAATGTCAGTTTTAGGAGCTTGGCTTCTCCATTTCCACCCAAGTCCTATGTTACAACCCCTTCTGTATCAACTGGGATGGTGTTAGCTGGTCCAGCCAGGTCTGGGGCCTGAAGACTGAGTCACCTCTACCTGCCCAGACTTTCTCCAGAAGAAAACATGGTCAAAATCTGGAAGTACAAAGTGTGTAAGACAAAGTCATACAAGAAAAGCATATATCCTGCTGTTTCTTTAGATGTGCTGTGGTGCTCCAGAGCAGCCTCAAGCTCTCCACCTTCTTGTTCCCCAGACAAGCCCATCTCCCACAGCAGCTGATAGGGCACCACTAAACACCTGAGATAGGAATGGGTCTGACTTTAGAGACATCCTGAAAAAGGGAAGAAACAATGCTCAGAAACATGAACACCTAGGCCTGTTCCCCACTCTGTTTCACAGAACACACTCATCAAACATTTGAGAGTAGTTCAACTGAAGCCTTTTGTAATGGCAGCCTGAACTTCTGAGCGTGACATGGGCAGGTTCTCTGCTTGTTGTAATAATGTCTGTTTTGGGAGGGCAGCACATTCTCACCTTGCAGGGTGCTCCTGTCTGCATCAGTCTGGGTAGCTTCTCCTCTCTTGCTCAAAGTTCTTTTTCTTTTCTGGCAAGTAGTCTCTGTGATAACTCTGGCTGCAGGGGAACTGACACTCTTAATTGCTTTAAACCTTTTTTTCACTTACCTGTTCTGACTGGTCCTTTCTTTAAATAGACTCTCTTTTATTTAATTGTAGGCAACCAGACAGACAAGAATACAAACACAAACATAAACAGGAAAGCAAAACTTCATGTAATAATATTGCAGACAAGAAGGGGTTTTTTCCTCTCAATTTGTCACATCATTTAGGAAGAAATTCTGTACAGAAAGGGTGATCAGGCATTGGAATGGGCTGCCCAGGGAAGTGGTGGATTCTCCATCTCTGGAGGCTTTTACGATAAGACTGGATGTGGCACTTAGTGCCATGGTCTAGCAACCACGGTGGTAGTGGATCAAGGGTTGGACTTGATGATCTTGGAGGTCCCTTCCAACCCAGCTGATTCCATGATTCTATGATTCTATGATTTTTATTGGTTAAATACAGAAGTAGGAAATAGAGATGGATCTCATTAAAAAATTGGTAGTTTTATGGTTATATTTTAATAATGTGTATTTCTGATGGTTCTGTTTGAAAGCCTAAACAATCTGTACCTCTAAATATGATAACATGAGCTATAATATGACTCTCTCCATAAGGTAATGCTTGAAACAGGAACCTCTGTTCCTCAGTTACTCATACACCATCTCCTTCTACCTCCCCACAACATCTATTTTGGAGCAGATCCTCTTTCACAGCCTCATTGATTAGGGAAGGAACACAAGGTCACTTAGCCTTTCTGAGGTTGAGGGGAGAAGTATTTTCTCCTCTTCCATTGAGAAGCACCCAAAGGATGGGTACGACATGAGTAGCAATGATTGGTACACATACTAAGGGACCTGATTAGAAAGGATATCCTCCTTGATTTGTTGCTCGTTAACAAGAGAGCCTCATGATTGAAGTGGTGGACATTTTGGACCATGGAGTAGTTTAATTTAAAATATCTGGTGACAGAAGGAAATTTGCCAGCAAAACTCTGGATAAGAGGAGAGCAGAATTCAGGCTGCTAAGGGAACTGCTTTGCAAGGTCCCCTAGGAAAATGGCTTTGAAGATGCTGGGATCTATTAGTGTGGTCACATGTTAAACACCATCTCTTAAGGGCACAGGAACATGCAATTCCAAAATGTTGGAAGTCATGCTGGTGAGGCAGAAGGTCAGCTTGGCTGACCAGGGATATTTTTCTGGAGCTAAGGCAAAAAGAAGAATATGGCCAGTGGAAGCAAGGTTGGGTGATTTGGGAGAATGTTATAGTTTAACCCCAACTGGCAACTAAGCACCATGCAATCACTCACTTCTTCCCAACACTCTTGGGATGGGAAGGAGAATCAAAAAAGAAAAGTAAAACTTTTTATTTGAGAAAATAACAGTTTAATAATTGAAATGAAGTAAAATATAATATTGCAACAACAAGAACAATAATAATAATAAAAAGGGGAGAGAGAGAGAGAGAAAGAGATAAAACCCAAGAATGACAAATGATGCACAATAGTTCCTTACCACTCACTGAACGAAGCAAAACCCATCTCCAAACCACAATAAGTTCGCCTTCCAGGTAGCTCCCCCAGTCTATATACTGGGCATGACATTCTGTGGTATGAAATACCCCTTTGGCCAGTTCAGGTCAGCTGTCCCAGCTATGCTCCCTCCCAGCTTCTTGTGCACCTTCTCTCTGGTAGAGCTTGGAGCTTGCTTGTCTGGTGGTGTAGCAGTGTCTGAATTACAAAACACTGAACAGTCCTGTGGTTTCTATATGTTAGGGTTTCATGATGGTGTAGCTTGTGATCTGGTGTGAGGTAATTAGGAGGAGGAGGTTTTAAGGGGTCTCTGGAGGTCAGAGCAGGTCTGATTTCAACATATCAATAGCTTCTTTAGGCTCCTGTTCTGCAATAACATTGGAATGCTATGCAGCAAACATGATATCCTCTGGATTTCTTTCCCCATCCACGGCGTGGGGCTGGCCCAGTCCTAGTTCCATTTCCATCTGAAGAACCATTGCGACGCTTTGAGGGATGGGGAAGGGAACTCCAGGGGTAACCCAGGGCTTTTTAAGGCCCTGAGCCTGGAGGGGAAAGGTGCTCCCCCCTCCCCCCCCGCACGTGGCCCCATGGCCGGCAGGGAGACAAGTCACAGGACACCGGGCGTGGAGAGGAGGCAAGAGAGAGTTTATTGTGGGGGATGTTACATTTATAGGGTTTAGGAGGATTCACAGAGTAACCAATTAGAAGTCTCAAGGGGTTTACAGGAACACCCAATCACAGGAAGGCCTTAACAAAGGCCAAATGGGAAACACCTCAGGACACCTTCCCAGGACATTCCTGCATGGATAACACAGGGGGTTGTGGGAAGAAGAAGCATGTGTTTGCAAAGGCACCACCAAAAGCCATTTTAAAACCTGTTTAAACCACAATTTTCCCATATAATGCAGGTTTAATGCTACAATATCCTGTAAAGAAACTTTATAACAGCATCTTTAAAAAAAATTAACTCAGTGAAGATCGGGAGCCCTTGGTCTGTAGTAGATCACATTGTAGGTCAGTAGCTCCTCCAGACAACCTACTGTTTGTCTTGTGAATAATCCCTGCCTTGTCAGTTTCTCAATCTTGTTCTGAAAGTATATGCCTACAGAAATGACAGGATGTTCATTTGAAAAAAATCAGCTCTAGGCCAAATGTCTCCATGTACTCTGAAGAAGATATTCAGATCATTTAGGTTATCAGTTGCCTCAAGAGGAGCTCAACTTCACTGAATATATATGGAAGTTAGCCTCGTAATTTGTGTGTCTAAATGCAAAAGACATACACACTAATCCATCATTATCTTCAGAAGTATAAATGATAAAAATAAAGCACAGAGAAGTCAAACCATTTCTAGTATATCCATCTGCTTCTGCTGCAACTGAAAAGCGAATCTGGATATCCAACTTCTAAAAGCAACCTGCATGCATTCCTTAGTTAATGAGCACTTAGAGATTATTATACATGGGATTATTTAATCAAAAAAAATAGCCAAAATTGAGAATCAAATGTGTACCTGGTGAGAAATTCTATATTTGGCTGTGAAAAGTATGAGACAGTAGGAAGTCCTACTAAGTTCTGTAAAATTGAGGTGGTTGGAGTTTTTTGCTTTTGTGGGAGAGTATCTTTGTTCAAAGAAGTGTACCAGAATAGCCACTGATCAAAATCTGTGGCCTTATCTGTCTTTGTTTTCTTTCCTTCATTGTTTCTAAGACAGAATGTTAAGGGCAAAATTTTGAGCAATAGAGTCTCTGAGTAACTTGAGCTTTTTTTTAAAGAGAAACTGCCACAAAATCAAAACTGGTTTTGCCGATGCAAATTCAGAAACATTTGAGGAAAAAAAGTTTCAATTTTTTTCTAGCAATAGCATTACTGAAGGACTGACAATAGATTTACATAATTATGGAAAAGCTGGCAAACCGTACAATGGAAGGTTTCAGCTTTTGGTTTCTAAATATTTTTCTGAATATTTTTTTTTTATTTTACAAGCTAAGTTCTAGTTTCACTGTCTTAGCTGTTTGGTTTATCTATGTTATACTCCCCATAGTAATATCTGCAACTATGGCATCATATATGTTATCAATATTTTAGTAAGATTCCACAAGAGTGAGACATTCTGGAAGTATGTGTTGCTTAAAAACACATATACCCAGTCTTGTATTTTCCTACCAACAAAGTAATTTTCAATTAAAGAGCAAAACTCTCAATGAATCCTTCTTTGTGAATATGCCTTCTTTTCCTGCTCTAATATTTTATGCTTTTGCTTTGTGAACTGAAGGAATAATTGAAATCTGATATTTAACTGATATCCTGCAGTGACAAATTACTTTTAGTGTAGAACAACAAAGTAAAATTTACTGAAACAATGAACAAGAGAGATTTTAGCTTATATTCTCATTTTCTTGTTTGCAAAAGATTCTTTCCCATAATTTACCCCGAATATTTGAGATCCACAAGTCTATATAGAATAATTACACTCATACAAGGCTATGGTCTTTTATAGTGCACCTGAATGCTGCATTCTGTTAATAATAAAATTTCTTTACATAATTACTTTGGTCTAAGACTCATTTTTAGTTCTAGTATTAATTTAGAAGAAACTCAGTAACTAAGTTGTGCTCTTGTTTATCAATCCTGAACTTCTATTCGTGATGTAAAAGCAAGAAGCTCCAAAATAAGAATTGCATTGACCCTTGTTCCTTTGGAAAAACAAGTCTCAAAATCTTTCCATAATTCCCTGTAGTTTCTCACCTTGCATGTTCCCCTCAGAAGTTCCACACCTCACTGTGACAGATTGTGTTTTAATGTCCTAAAACCCACCTCATGCAACAGTGGCATCAGCTCATCAAAATCCCAGAGCTGGACTATTTGTCTTTGAAAACCAACCAGAAATTTGGGCTGCTGCAAGAAGTGGAAGGAGAAGTGATATATAGCCTGTACTTATCTCCAGGAAACTTAGACACCAGTGTGTCCAAGTGCTGGTGAAAAGGGAAGTAGCAGCTAGCAGCTTTAGTGTCCACCTTTATGATATCGCTGAAATGACATTTTCTATTTTTTCAACCTGGATGTCTTCTGCAATTCCACACAAGACCACTCTAGCATCTGGCACGAGAAAAGATGGACCCCCTCATGTGGGTGACCATCTTGTTTTTTGGTTATGATGTGCACCTTAGTTGGTTCTGAAAAGGTAGATGGAAGAGTGAGGATGGTGGCACGAATTGTAGGTGACTTAGGTCACTGGTGGCTGGGAGAGGGACATGCTGCACTTTGAAGGATAACTCTAAGTTTTGTAAAGATTGGGAAATATGTCTAAGAGTAAGGGATACATATAAAGAATAAGTTATGACATTACTTTAGTTGTGTAATACTTATCTTGCACCCTATATATCCTATTGTCTCTCTTGTTCCAAGTAAGAAAAGGAACCATGTTACAAGCATAGGCAGTGTTTCCTAAACACATTTTTCAGTATCAGGAACAATGTCTACAAGACACTTCTTAGACACAGTTGCCAAGTGCATTTAAGGAGTAAATCAAAGACAACATTTTCCCTCTTAGTACTGCTTCCTCCAAGACACTCTTCTTCAGATTCCATGGCTGATTGTGAATAAAACCCTGCTTTGACATGAGATCCAGTCACAGAAATTGCTTGTCATAACTGATGATTTTCTGGACTACAAACATATTTGGATCTGAATTTCCTTGAGATTGATG